GGGTATTTCAGCAATACTAAAATTCACCACTTCCTGAACAGCAAAAATAGAAACCCACCAGTAGCATGCCTTGCATTAGATCCTTTTTGCTAATGGCAGAGACCAGGGGTATCTTTGCTCTCAAAATAAAACCATAGGATTAAAAATAAAAACAACAACAAAAATCATGGCTATTGCATTAATCAGACCACTACTCTACCATTTTTATTTTGATTACCCACAAATGTAACAATTAAAAGTTGCTGGATTCTTTTTCAAAAAATATATAAAGTGTCTATCTAAGAATACCATTTTAAAAGCCTCATCCATATGTTTTTCTATACAAAATCAGCTGTTACAGATCTTTTTTTGAGATGTAAAGTGCAACAAAAAGGACTAGCTGAGAGTCTTCATGGTCAGACACATACTTTACTGGAGATTATTGAAAAAAGAAGACCACTTTTAGCCATGTAACACCCTTCTATAATTATGTAATAATTTTCAGCAAGTCTTTTCTCTCCACCTCTGATGACTGATTAGATGGTGAGGCAGAACACTGTAAAGATCCAGGTTTTACCAGTTACTCTGCTAAGTAATAGCAAAGAGCTAGAAATTACTGTCATTGCAAGTTCAGTTTAATGTATTACACTCATTGTGTTAAACCAATCACATCAATTCTTTACTACTGGCCATTTTCCCTTGGGAATCATAAGATATATTTTCTAATTTACAGATTCATGCCCACTTACAGGAATATGCCTACACAATTCCCCCTTTCTATGGCTTTGTCCCAGCTGAGATTTTCACCCTTGTCCCAACTAGCTCAGATGTTAGGATGAAGCCTCAGGGATCCGCCACATGAACGTGAATAAAAGATAACAAAAGAGGCTCTTTCCCCCCTAGGAAGAATCTGAGGTTTATTTCCTGTGGTCCAGGAGCAAAAAGAGAGTGAGGTCAGGGGGCACAGGTCTTTTCTAGGGTCTGTAAAGGGGGGCGGGAAGAAATTGGATCTCGGCCAACTAGGCATGGCCAGAGAGGAGAGGGACCAGGCCACAGGACATTGCAGGGGTCACGGAATCTACCATTTCCGATACATCTAGTGAGTTACAACATCTCCCCGTTTTTTGTTTAATAAAGTTGAAAGAAGGATATTAGGTTCATCTTGATTTAAATTATGATCTCGTCCACCACTTGCAGTTGGTGGGAGAGTTAGATTGTTCTAGGTTTTTCATCTCTATGTGATTGATTACTGCAGTAGAAGGAATGAGACCATTAGTAGCCTTGAAAACCAAGTGACATAGGATCCCGAATGCCATTATTACAAGGAAAAGAATAATAAAAATTAACATAAAGGTTTTAACTACAGATGTCCACCATCCTGTGAGTCCCCAGCCTTTGAACAGTTCATTGAACCAATCTTCAGATTCTTGCTTCACTTGTCTGATCAAGCTGTTCATACTTTGGAGGGTAGCATGGATGTTAGGAGCTCTCGAGGTCAGGTTCATGCAGCAAAGTCCTTCAAATTCCTGGCACTCATGTCCATGCAGCAGTAGGAGAAAATCTATAGCAGCACGATTTTGGAGTGTGACTTGCCTGGTAATTTCCTTGTCTTCCAGGAGGGAGTTGATTGAGGTGGATGTTAAGTTTGCCTGTTTGACTACCCAACACTCTAGGTGGCCCAATTCTCCTAGAGCTTTAGCTGCTGCCACCCATGGAAGAAACAGGGACGCAGCAATTCTTTTTGACTTGGCCCAATGGAAAATTTCAGAATCACAGTTTGGGTCCAAATTGTCTGCACTTCTCTTCTGGATTTTATTACCCGGGGTTTTTTTATGCATCCAATTGTTAATTAAGGTTTCGTTGGGTGCCAACAGGGACAACCAACCGAAGGTGCATGGCCCTCCTAAGAGCCAAGAAGGGATTCCTGTCCATACCCGATCTCCACAAATCAAGAACAATCCCCTTGGGAGGCTTTTGGGGCTTGAATGAGTTGGGGTGTCAGCTGCAATATGGTTTATAATATTACATCACCTTTTGGCAGTGAATTCCTCACGATATTGCATTATGTTGTGTAACTCTTTTAAGCTAGAAGGTTTTGGGAGGATCATAAAATGAATGCAATATTGTGCTGGGTAGGAACCCAACAGCTCTAATTCTTGGGGTTCCTGAGCTGCTTTGGGCAAACTTGGCAGCAACTCCTCTATGGGGTTCTTACTTATTACAGCTTGCTGCCTACGATTTTTGTATGATGAAATGGTGTGTGACTCAGGAAGTTCATTGGGCATCTGTGTTTCAAAGCTGGCTGAATATTGTCTAGCCTTCAATGGAATTCCTACCAGGCAGGTAGACATAGGGTTTGTTGTTGCTGCTGGGGACAGACATATGTATTCCTGTTGGAGTGTCTGTGCCAGGGTCACCCAGATGTTTTGACATGGCTGAGGGATGATCCATGCAGCTGCCAAACCGTTCAGGGTTAATAGGAAGACAACTTGGATGGGATTCATTACGGGACTGAGTGAAGTTTTTTTCTAAAAGGAAAGACAAACGTTACACAACTTGTTAAAAGTCTCTATCTGCCGGAATGTAATCCTCTATGAGGATTTCCTTTCCTTTTTTTTGGCGGCATCTTCTTTTTGAAGCCACAGCCACTTGCTCCTCATCCCCTTCAGTTGGAGCAGGATGTTTGGGGACATATGATTTCACCCACTTTTGGGGAATCCACCGAGGGGCTGAGGGAGTGGATACGCAAGCATAGCCACGTCCCCAGGTAACGAGCTCATAGGGACCTTTGGTTTCCCAGGTTTCTGGGTCCCTAATCAAGACTGGAGGATGTTGGGATAACTTGAACTGTTTCCCACTGTTAAAGTGGCGCACCACAGGTGGACTCATGTTTTCAAATGAACAATTCAGGAAATTGATAGTAAACATGGCTTTGCAGAGCTTCTGCTGTGGAGACATCCACGCAGTTGAACTGCTCTGTTTAGCCAAGACCTGCTTGAGAGTCTGATTGGCTCGCTCAACTACACCTTGGCCTGTGGGGGAGTAGGAAGTGCCAGTTTTATGTTCCACTCCCCACTGCTGGACGAATTCCAGGAACTCCTTGGACTTATACGCTGGGCCCTTATCAGTTTTGATTTCCCTAGGGATCCCCAACACTGAAAAGGCTTGCACTATGTGTTGTTTAGCATGCACTGCCCTTTCTCCCACATGGGCAGAGGCATAGACTGCGCCTGAATATGTGTCAATGCTTACATGAACGTATTTGAGGCGACCAAAACTGGGAATGTGTGTGATGTCTGTCTGCCATACCTCACAGCTACCAAGACCTTGGGGGTTAACCCCCATGCCCATTGATGGCATGGTCTGGAGCTGACAGCTGGGACAGGTGGCCACAATGGCTCGAGCCTGACTCCGTGTTAGCTGGAACTGACGCATCAGACCTGGCGCATTTTGATGATACTGCTGGTGGCTCAGCTTTGCCTGATGGAAGACGTCAGGGAGGCCTGCTTGTTCAGCTGGAGTTGCTTGTTCTGCTGGGGTTGCAAGAGAGTCTACCTGATGGTTCCCTTCTGCAATTTCGCCTTGCAAATTGGTGTGTGACCTCACATGCATCACATAGAACGGATGTTCTCTATGAGAAATCTAATAAATTAGTTTGGAAAGCAACCTGAAAAGCTGCTCATTCTCAATGTCTCTGAGCACTGCTTGCTCCGCTCTGGACACCACCCCTGCTACATAGGCCGAGTCTGTTACCAAGTTGATTGGCTCTGAGAACTTCTCAAAGGCTCTTACGACTGCTGCCAGTCCAGCTACCTGGGGTGATCCCTCCACAAACTCAACATCAGCTTCCCAATGCTGAGTCTGGGGATTTCTCCAAGTCATCACCAACTTGTGGGAAGCCCCAGATGCATCCATGAACACTGTGAGAGCTTTGAGTGGTCTCTGACTTCTCACGAGGAATGAGGTGGAATTCCTCATTAAACAGCTTGTAAGACGGGGCATGGACTGATATTTGTCCCCTGTAGATGTCCAGAGATAACTGGAGACTGGCATTGCTCTGGAGCAAATGCTCAAACATCTCTTTAGTCAATGTCAGGACAGTTCCTTCCCTCAGAAAATTTGACTGGGAGGTGAATACATGTAAAGTCACAACCAGCCAGTTCATACAGTCTCATCCTTGCTTTCCGATTCAGCTGAGCTATCAGCTCTTGTGGCTTAGTGATGGTTTTGGATCTTTGGTGGGAGAGGAAGACCCACTCTATGATTAAGAGTGACTCTCTCTGCCCCTCAATCCATTGGAATATCAACCCGTGTAAGTGTGGCAGTTTTCCTAGGATAATGAATTTGAAGGGCAGCTCGGGCTGGTAACGGTGAGCTTGCCTCTCTCCTAAAGCCTTTTGTACCTTTTCGATTGCAGTCTTTGCCTCTGGGGTCAGTTCCCTGGGAGAAAGCAGCTCTCTCTCCCCCTTCAGTAAATTGAAGAGAAGTTCTAGGTCCTCATTAGTGAGGCCTAGCCAGGGCCCGACCCAATTCAAAGACCCACCACACAAGGAATGGAGATCTGCTAAGGTTTTTGGATTACAATTAATTTCCAATTTCTGCGGAACAATGTTCTGTGCAGTAATTTCCAAGCCCAGGTACTTCCAAAGTGGCATCCTTTGGACTTTGTCCTCCTGCAATTGAAATCCAGCAGAGGCTAAAACCTTAACCACCAGGTCAAGTGTGTATTGGAGTAGAGATTCATCGGGGGCACACACAAGCACAACATCCATGTAGTGTAAGATGATGGCATCCCTTCTCTGAGCACGCACCAGGGACAGCAATGAAGCCACCTGCCACTGGCAGATGGAGGGACTACATTTCATTCCCTGTGGCAGAACTTTCCAGTGGTAGTGCTTCACTGGGGCTTCTCGATTGATGGTAGGAACCTAGAAGGCAAACCGTGGGGCATCCTCTGGGTGTAGGGAAATGGGGAAGAAACAGTCCTTGATATCTAGAACAGCCAACTGCCAATCTCTGGGAAGCATCGTTGGAGAAGGCATCCCAAGTTGGAGTGACCCCATGTCCTCTATCACTTTGTTTATTTCCCAGAGGTCGTGGAGCAGCCTCCACTTGTTCTTCCCTGGCTTCTTTATTACAAAGACCGGAAAATTCCACGGACTTGTGGTCTCTTCTATGTGGCCTTTGGCCAATTGCTCCTCCACAAGCTCTTCAAGCACCTTGAGCTTCTCCTTACTCATCGACCACTGTGCTACTCACTTTGGGGTATCATCTAGCCATTTCAATTTTTGGGTCGGGCGCTCTACAGTGGCTGCCTCTAAAAATCCTGAGGAGTCTTAGGAATAACCAATTTCACTCCCCACTGGGACATGGTGTCTCTCCCCCACAGAGGGCATTTATAGTTTGTAACAAATGGACGGATGCTAGCCAATTTTCCATCCGGCCCTTCAATTTGCACAATGCTTTTTGATATTTTTGCCAATTTTACCCCTCCTACACCTTGGATTTTGCCTGCCACAGGTTGTAGTTCCGATTGTGACGGCCACATCCTCTCGGGTATGATAGTCACATCGGCGCCTGTGTCCAGTACCCCTTCCACATGGAGGTGGTCTGATCCACGGGTTAGGTTGCATGCCAGAGAAGGTTTGTCCTCACCCACCACTTCTGCCCAGTAGACATCAGGTGATTTTCCGTCTACTGGGACCTCCGCTGGAATGGGAATGGCCTGGGTGAGGATTTGTCCCTCAACCAGGTAATATGGTGGTAGAGGACAGCGTGCCAGGAGAATGAGGCCAGTTATGCTTCCCTTGATGGTCATGGGAGCTACCTCAATCTCTAGGGGTGTGTGTGCTGTATCCCCGACAACAAAGTACTCACTGTCCAGTTTCATGTGGTTTAACATCACGTCCTATGTGCTGTTAGGTAGGTCCACTGTTATGACTGCCCAATCAGGTGACCTGAAATGAAAGTCTTTGGTAGTCACGAGCCTAAAACGGCCTAGTGGCTGCCAAACCTTGTTAATTGAACATTTGACATTTTGATTGTCCTGCATCCCCACACCCTGTATTCCATCCTCCCCCTTTTCTTTTAAGAGAGAGTCTTTTGTCAGTGTGGAGCCCGCAGTACTTATAGCCGAGCGTGCAATTGTGTTAATGGCAGGTGCGCGCTGGCATGCTAGTTTTTTTGTTTGTTGGTCTTCTTCTGTTTCTGGTTGTGTGGACAGTCTCTGGCAGTGTCCTGGCTTCTTGCACTGGAAGCAGATGATCTGCTGCAGCTGCTCTGGTGACATTGGTTGCTTCTTTGCTCCTGGTGTCACAGTTGCCATGGTCTTTGGGTGTGCCAGTCCAGGATTTTTCTCATGTCCACTGAGCAGTTCTGCTTTCCTGGCACAGGCTTCTATCATCTGTGCTAAGCTAGGCGCTGGTTCGAGGGGAAGGCTAAGGATAACCCTGCAGCAGGTTTCATTAGCATTCCTCTGAGCCATCTCCTTAATCAATTCAGCTTGTACCACCAGATCATGCACCTGTCTTTCCACTTGCACATGAAGACCCTCTACAAACTGTAAGAAATTCTCAGAAGCAAACTGTTTAATGTTAACATAACTACCTTTGGCATCCACTGTTTGTAATTTTCTGCAACATTGCATATTTTATCCAGGACAGACTTGGATAGTACTCTGGTTTGTTTTTCGGGGCAATGCCAATCCCCTTCCCCACATACATGTTCATATGTGATGTCATTATCATCAGCATCTTTTGCATCATCTGAGCTTTGCAAAAGCTCTTGTAAAAGCATTTGCAAAGATCTTTTCCACAGGCTTTCCCATAGATCATATTCTGAGGGAGTTACCAGACATCGGAAAAGATCATTGATATCATATGGAACTAGTTCGTTTGAGCTAAAGGTGGCTCTCATCATGCCTTTAAAGATTTCACTATTTCTGCCAAATTCTCTCTGTACTTTACAAATTTCCTTTTTATCTTGATAGGACAAAGGCTGATAACTTCTCTTGCCATTTCTCCTACCGAGATAAACCACAGGAGCAACTGATGGTATATATTCTTCTCCCAGGTTTTGACTTCCAGGACTGGGAACCCCCCCCGCCCCCACTGGGCCAGGGAGGCTGCCCACCCTCCCCCACCACAGGGACACCATCTGTCCCGCAGGGGCTGTGAGCTGATCCCCCACCCCCACCCCCATCCCCACCAGCACTAAGCCCAGCAGGGGCTCCACTGCCTTCCCCCTCCAGCAGTAGCTTGGAGGACAGGCATGTGAAACCGGAGCAGGGGTGTGGTGGTGGGATCCAGGGTTGCAACATATGTGGGCGGGGTTGCAGGGTGCTGCCATGCAGGGTAGGGTCTTGGAGGAGGGAGGGGGCAAGACAGCTGAGGGCAGGGATGGGTTTTGGGAGGGGAAAGGGTTAGGGGCAGGGACCAGAGGGTAAAGGGGATTGTGGGATAAGGGAGGAAACACGTGGCTGCCAGCATATGGGACCCCCACTACTCTCTCTGCAGTGCCCTGGGGACAAGCCGCATGGCCAGAGCCATCTTGGAACTTGCCCTCAGCCCCTTCAGGCTTAGCCACATGGCTGTTGCCCTGCAGGGAAGGAAATTTTCAGTACACTGCTCCGAAGGAAAAACATTTGGGAGGGAAAGGTACAAGGAAGGATGGCTGACAATTTTTGAAAAATGATCAGAACCGGGATACTGGGGAGGACTCAGGAGCCCAGAGCAGCTACGGCTGTGCTGGGTGCCCTGCGTCTCCTGGGGAGACCCGTCTCCAGTTCCAGGTTATAGGGTTTTGGAGAAAGGGAAGGTGAATCTGAGCTGTTTTGCTGTTGCTGCCTGTTGTTTTCTGTCTGAATTAAAAGCTTCCAAATTTGTAAGAATATCGGGAGGAATATAGAGGCTGTTTCATCTCCATTTTCCACTTTTACAGTTAATAAATTGCCTATTTCATCCCAAAATGAAATCGAATTTATATCTTGCAATTCAAGGTCCGATTTTTCCACAGACAGCCAGCTTGCAAAACGTGCTAATCTTTTCTTAGATATATAAACATTTCCTGAACTTAATATTTCCCTGAGTTGGGAACTTAAACTCTTTTGTAGGGCACATTGCTGTAAGCCCATGATGTTTAGTAACAATCTGCCACTATATCTACCCCACTACAGTTAAAACACAGGAAAAAGAGTCAGTTGTTAGATTCTGCCGCTTATAGCACGGCTTTCAGGCTCTGCTGGCCATGGATCAGATGTTAGTTCCACTGCTTTTGTCGGCAAGACCCACGCAGTGCTGGAGCCACTTTTGGGACCGATCCAACTGAGTGGAGCCACAAAAAGCCTCAAAAAAACCCATGCCGCCACTTTGAAACCGATCAAAGCTGCAGCCTGTCACGCAGTGCCCTGTCTGAAGTGGCTGCGTCCAGCCCCCCCCCAGCCTGCACGCTGCACCCCGCGTGTGCCGTGTGCGCCGCCCGAATCGCATGCCTGCCAGGTCGCCATGCACTGCGCACACCCCCGTGCCACCGCCACCTCTTGTGAGTGGCACCGCACTGGCCAAATGCCACCGGTGAGACCACCCCACGGAGCTACAGGAACCCACCCCACCATGAAAGAAGGCTTACACTCACCCTTTATCATGCAGGCATAGGCTTCTGTGTAACTGTAGTGGGTCTCCGTCCAGAACTGACCTGCCTGGGCTACTGACAGGCTCCCGGTTCGTCCTAAAAGTCTCCGAACTGCACAAAATGCAGCTCAAAGAAATTTAAGTTAGTTGAACAGCTCAAAGGCTTATCGAATCCCAAAAATGAGAGTCACAGCCAGTCACAGGGTTCTCTAAATCTGTAGAGACAAATCCACGTGAGCGCCAACTGTGGCTTTGGCCCAGCTGAGACTTTCACCCTTGTCCCGACTAGCTCAGATGTTAGGATGAAGCCTCAGGGATCTGCCACATGAACGTGAATAAAAGATAACAAAAGAGGCTCTTTCCCCCCTAGGAAGAATCTGAGGTTTATTTCTCGTGGTCCTCCAGGAGCAAAAAGAGAGCGAGGTCAGGGGACATAGGTCTTTTCTAGGGTCTGTAAAGGGGGGCGGGAAGAAATTGGATCTCGGCCAACTAGGCATGGCCAGAGAGGAGAGGGACCAGGCCACAGGACATTGCAGGGGTCACGGAATCTACCATTTCCGATACATCTAGTGAGTTTCAACACCTTTCCATCACATATCCCTTCTTATAAGGACTTCATATTGCCAATGAAAAGACCACAAATGTTTTTATTTGAATTTATCCGCTAGATCCACCCACAAGCAGTAAGTTCATCTCACTGATAAAAAAACCCCAACCATTTCCAGTCTCTTCTATTAATTTTCAACTGCTCGCCCCCTGCTTATACAGACAAGGGTTCATGCTGCACAATGAATTGGATCAAGATATTGATTCAGATTAAAGCTATTCAGAGGTTAAGGCAAATTTTAACGTCAATCAATTTCAAGTATGAAGAGTTGTCCTGGCAAAAGAGAGGGACAAGCAGGATCAGGAACAGAGGTTCCCCACTGGAGGAACCAGAAAACCCAAACTGTTTCATCTTCCTTCAGCTCACATTTATAAACTGCTTTATATATACCAGGTTAAAATTCAATTGAACTGCATGGCTGAAGCAAGAAGTGACAGGCATCTTTATATATCCACACCATGGCTGGTAAAATTAAGTTTTGTAGTTATTAATGGGCTTCTGCAAAGCACAACGCTATTCAAAGTTTTCCAGTGGCATTTGGTTTATATGTTTTGAGAGTAGCTGCCCAAATGTTTTTCAGTAAGATGAAAGATGGTATTATTCCTAAATGGGAAAATCTTGGATATTTATAAAGATGCTCCTTCTAATCTGCAGAGTATAATTTACGGGTAAGTTCCCCCTAGCTGAGCTGTATAATCATCAGCAAGTATTATTGAATTATCACAGTAGGACACCATGTCAGAGGCTTTTTTTTGAATGGGTTAGTGTGCAGTATACTTGAGGACCATTTGACAAAGCTTATTTAACAGAACCGTGCCAGAACCTCTGCAGAGCAATTCTGTTCCCTTGGCCAGCAGCAATGTTTTATACTAAAAAGCTGGTATAATTTCAATTATTCAGACTAAACAAAGCCTATTCAGATTAAAACAAACTTTCCAAGTATAAAAATAATTAGATCATAGTTAGCAATTAAATGCCATGTAGTAGAGGAGTATATACAGACATTAAAAATTTGCTTTTGTCAGATTTTAGTGCTTTTTTTTCAATAAACTGAAGTACCATAAATTACATAAACATTGAACATGGTCTGAATAGCTGCCTTTGTCAACCAAATTCTCTGAATGTCAAACTAAAATGAAATCACATGCATCTACAGTAAAGGGATGTATATAACAAATTTGAATTGTATCAAAGGAAACAAAATATTTATAAATACTAAGTGTGGCTCCCAATTATCTAACACACAGTTTTGACTGCAAAATATATACATACGAAAGACCTTCTGAAAAAGGATTTCACTTATATTTCTACAGAAGTGCTGTAACCACCTAAAAGAATAAGGTAAATAAACACAGTCTACTAACATATATAGACCTAAATAAGGTGATACAACCTCTAACAGAACCAGTAAAAATTACTTCATTAGGGTTATTCTGGATTCATTCTGGGATTTCAATGAGGTTTCAACTGAGGAGAAAATTGGTTGTATTCGATTACTTAGACCCTTGTATAATCTAGCCTCAGAAGACCTTGTATTTTATTGATAGAGCTTGATGTTAGTTTTGAAAGTGCAGCAGGAAATAACCAGTGAAATATGTCACAGAATCCAACAGTATGGCTTTGTACCATTTATTGAATAGAACTATACATTGTCATAAGTATTTTTTCCCTACATATCAAAATATAGGAAAGAACATACAGAGCTGCATAATTTCAAGTTGTAACTGACATGCCATCAAAAGTTACCAGTCTTAATTTAAGAACAGTTTCTGTCAGATAGTCTTAGTTTTTCTAAATCCCAGACACTGTATCAGAAAGAATAAAAGATGGTTTTGGTAAAAATTTAAATAATGGAAAAAGACTACCAAATTAACATTTTTCTTTAGCTCTGTATCTTTACAGATAACCACTTTATTTCTCTGTT